TTGAAGAAAGTTGTTGCAAAGAACAAGAGAGACTGGCATGAGAGAATTGGTGAAGCTTTGTGGGCATACTGGACAACCTTCAGAACTGCTACATAAGCAACTCCTTACTCTTTGGTGTATGGCATAGAAACAGTCCTACCGTTAGAGCAACAAATTCCATCATTGTGGATAGCAATCCAAAAGGACTCACGTCCGAAGAGAATGCTCAACTTTGCTTAGTAGAGTTAGAGGCATTGGATGATAAAGGATTGGAAGCGCAACAAAAATTGGAATGCTATCAAGCTCGACTAGCTAGAGCCTTCAACAAGAAAGTGCGGCCACGATCATTCCAAGTGGGAGACTTAGTCCTAGCAGTTCGACGACCTATAATCCTCAACAAACGCATAGGTGACAAGTTTACCTCAAAATGGGATGGTCCATATGTTCTGAAAGAAACCTATTCAAGTGGCGCATACAAAATTGTCAATAAGGATGGTCTCAGAGTTGGTCCGATGAATGGAAAATTTCTGAAGCAGTACTTTCCATGAAAGTCACCTACGCTCCTCGACGTACGAGCCTAAACTGCAAGTCATGATTCTCCTCGATGCATGAGCTTAAACTGCATGTTGCTACACTCCTATCCCGCATGAGTCTAAACTGTGTACGGCCAAAAAAAAAGAGTCTGCTAGGTTGAAAATCTCGAAAGATGCGGCCTAGGAAAAAGTCAAGACCAAAAAAAAATTGATCCCTCTTAACTACGTTATGACCTAATCCTCTTCACTGAGGTACGTAGGCAGCTTAGAGTTTCATTCTAAGTTCAGTCGCGTGAGTTTTAAAAAAATTAAAAGTTTGGCATCATCGGATCATTACATTAATTCTTCCAAGTGTAGAGCAACATATCTATGAGGAAAATAGACGATTTTCTTTGAAGTATAGAAGATGTTTATTGCTTCAATAGTACAAAAGTTGATACATCAAAAAAATATTGAGACAAAAGGAATTAGACGTTTTCCTATACAAAAGCCTAAGTCATGAAAATGATCGTAAACTAGGCTTTGTGGCTGACTCGTCTTGAATGCTTCTTCCAAGTCCATATGACGTCTCCACATTTTAATATACTATCCTCAATGCCTCGTATATAAGAAGTCATCTCTCTTGAAAAACCTTCAATCACCACGGGAGCTGCCATTGATAAACTTCAAGACCATCAACAAATCAAGCGCAACAAGTGGTGAAGGGGTGACTCTACATCTTGTATGATATCTCAGACTCATATCTGGACTCGTTGAACTTTTTCGCAAGTATGCAAAAGAAATAAACAAAGAGATAAGATTCGTGATAATAGCCGAATCCATTACAAGGCTGTAGAATCAACTTCAAAAATATTTGTTAGGCTAACTAAGAATTAATGGAGCTTCATCTTCAACATGATTATAGTTCTCGACGTCCGAATTTCATAGGATCAAATTGTTGGTGATTTCGATGCTCCTAGTTCAAGATACAGTTTTTCTGGCCGAAAGCATGCAAACTTGAAAGTTCCCTGCCGTCAGTTCGACTTTCAATATTTTTCTGTTTCTAGCCCGAGAAGAGTGCCGAGATGGAATTTTTATGTGTTGCATCTCTAGGAGTTTTCTTTCCAATGGAACAAACGTATTGTAGTTCCGATACCCTTATCTCAAGATACAATTATTTTCGCTGAAGGTATGCAGATCTGAAAGTTCACTGCAGTTAATTCGATGTCACGAATTTTTTGTTGATAGCCCGAAAAGAGTTCTGCCATGAAATTTATAGCTATCTCTGAGTTCTCTTTTTAACGGTGCAAACGAATTGTAATTCCGACACTTGTAGCTCGAGATATGAATTTTTCCACTATAGTGCGCAAAGCTGAAAAGTAATTTCGCGGACAGATGGGTCAAGTTCAAAAAGTTGCTGCGGACAATATGCTAAGAATTCTTCTATGATATCTTAAATATTTCATTATCTCTAAATTTTCTTTCCAACGGCGTAGACGGTTCGCAATTTGGATGCTCCTAGCTTGAGATATGTGTGTTCCAATGATAGCATGCAGTGCTGTGAAGGCGGAATGACAGGCTTGTGCATCGCTTTCAAAAGTTCATTCCGGCTTGTCCTTATGGAATTTGGCCCCAAATTTTGGATATGTTACTATGGTGCAAGTTTTGATTCTGCAGAACCAAGCGGATTACAGTTTGGACACTCTTGGGTCGAGATACGATTTTTTCAATGCGAGCATGAAATGCTATGAAGTCAAAACAGCAGAGACGCGCCAAGTGCTTGCTCGCCGAAGTTGGAAAAGCCTACTCCAGTTGTCTTGCTCGCCAGCCTACAACAATGCAATATGGTACATGTCTCACTCACCACTGATAAAATATGGTCTCTCCGAGCCTCCAAGAGTAGGGATTTTGTCGTCGAGGTTGAAAAGACACTTCATATGTCTTTCTCGCCGAGCCACAACAAAGAGACTAGTGGTTTGCTTGCAATTCATCTTCCTAGGGATATCAAAGGCCACTGGTACTCTCGCAAAATACTGCAAAAGAAAAATATTTGGAAATCCTCGATGCCAACAACGTAAAGTTTCTGTGGATACGGTGCCAATAGCAGCAGTATGGCACTTTAGTTTGACATAAAAAAGACATCGGAAGCTGCACAACAGTCTTGTTCAGCATGGCATGTATCGGTGCCTATAGCACGAAGCTTTAACTTGCGACAAAAAATTTGGTCTTGAACAACAATCTCCATTGCTCGAAGTTTGCAAATTTGGCTTCTCATGCTAGTGAAGTCCTTCAATATGGATTAATTCTGAATAAAGAAGCAATAAATGAAGCAGAACTTCATCCCCAAATTATTGTATGGCGTGCGCTTGATTGCTTCTAGTTCTCTTTTCTACGTGTTTAAATTGAATGATTTGCTGCGTAAGAAAAAAAAAAGAGAGAGCGAGTCATGATTCAACAGAAAATTAAGGAGATAAGAACAAAAAAAGAATGAAAGAAAGGTCGAGTGTAAGCAGTTCATGAAAGCAATTGGAGATGGAAGAAGCTCTAGTATCAGTTTTGGTGCTTCGACCCAGTTAGACAGAGGAGTTTGATATTCAATTGTGATGGAAAACTAGTTGGCTTGGTCCTCTTTTTATAGGGATCGCACGAAGAGTTCTCCTTTTAAACGGAAAAGAAGAGAGTTATCGGATTGAAGTTAATTATCCCGTGAACAAGTTGGACTGAAGATGAAGAAAGAAGATTCTGTATGCTAATGAAACATAAATTGAGAGCTCGTCATGTGTGGATTGCAATTAATGACCAAACACAAATTAAGGTAAGTGAGTTATGTGGCTTTGCTTAATGTTGGGACTTAGTCATTCTTTCCAAGAAGAATTACATTAAAAATAGAAATTCTAAGTGAAAAGATGGAATTACTTTGATTTTTTTTTGTCCCTAAGAAGATCTTGGATTGATCTCTTAACCGGAAAAGGAAAATATTAAAAGCAACTTCTTTAATTAAGCAGATTTACCCAAGTATTAGTTTGGAGAATTTTACATGAAAGAAATTTCAATTTTGATATATCCTGCTTTCCTTCGAAGGAGATGTGTGTAATTAAGTTCAAAAGAGGCTTTTGTCGGAAAATAATAATAATTGTCTTACTGGTACTTCAAGCATCGTCTTCAAGTTTCAATAAGTCATTTTAGGACAAACCTTGAAGTAGGGGGTATCTGTAGACATATAAAATTTATTGGGTCTAATCCATACAAAATTTGGATTAAATTAAATTGGGTTAAATAATTAATTTGGGCTTTACAAGTTAAATTAGTCCATTTCATTATTTTTGAGCCCAAGGTTCTCTTCATCTTAAGGCCCAGACTCGTAGCATGTGTCAAGTGACATGGCATGTCCAGTCAAATCCAAAGCCAACAAGATGATGCCACGTGTTAAATGATGTGGCAATCCAAGTCAAAAAGCAAGAACCAACCACAGGTTGCCAAGTGGCTAAAATGACATGAGCCAATCAGAATCAAGCAATAGAGTTAGTTCATATGTAGCTGGACTGTCCATCCTCTACAACAATAAGTAGAGGGGTTACATAACTCTCAAGGGACATTCAGAGTTGGAGAAGAACACTCCGCAATTGGTGAAGGCATCCACAAACAGAGAGATCAATCATCAAGTGCTTAGTTCTTCGACAAAGGAGTGATCAACGGAGTTCTTCCCAGAAATCAACTCATAACAACAAAGTGTTGCTCGACGTTCTTAGCGATTAAATACATCACAAGGAGGTCTACATCATCCTACATTCGAGAAAGACGCTTCTCAAGCCCTCGAATCACGGAGAATTTTAGAGAGGAGAATCAAGAGATACATAGAATTGTACTCACAAATATTTATCAATAAAATCACTTTTTCTTCATATTATTTTTGTTGCAGTTTATTTTTCGTATTACGAAAATTTGTTGCGAACAGTTACTTCAAGTAAAAGTAACTTGGTAATATAAAAAAAAATATTACACCATCACTAGATCAGTTAAACTCTTTTAAAAATAGTCGCAAATTGAGAATGTCGAAGTATGGATTCGCAATCTTCAATGATGTGGAGCTAATTTAAAACCATCCTCGAATGTCGAATAGGCCTGGTCCGAATAGGCCTAAAGTCCCTCATCGCATAGCAAGTGAGAGTGGAACTATCATTTTATGGGGTCGTTTGCTATGAGGTATCAGTAGATATAGTGTTGATATAAAAATTTAATATCATCTTAATATTTTATTTGGTTAGCAAACTTGGTATAAGTTATTCCGAGATTAAAATTAGTGTCGGGATAACTTATATCTTATTCTTAGAAATTATACAATTGTCACTTTTAATATAATATACCAGCATAAGCCGTATTGTAACCAAACGACCCCTAAGTAGCCTAATTATCCTTACATATGATTGAAAAATTATATCGGACCTATCTAAAAGCTCTTCCCTTTCTTGATGCATGTTATTTTTCTTATTATCACATCCAAAAAAGAAAAAAGAAAAAACTAGAGTTTTCTTGGATAAAAGGTGCTTGTGGAGTTGAGGTCCAAAATTAAGAACCTTAAGAAAGTTGTATTACATATACAAAATACTATAAGGGTTGTTCAACAAGTTGATCTACTAGCTCCTCCAACAACTGATCAAGAATTTTTAATCCTATGCCCCCACCGATCTCCTTGCAGTATTCAAACTTGCAAATCTCTTTCTGTAGCCAGTTTCTTTCCACTGTCTCTCTATCTGCCAATGTGCTGAAACCACTCCATATTTGTACGCAGTTTTCAAAATGCTTGTATGATTCAGCACAAATTCTTTCACTTTTCTTGGCTTCCACTCCATTATTATCACCTGCGGTCAGTTTCAGCTTCCTGTAATTTTCAAGTTCCTCGGTCAGTGTTCTCCTTGATCTTGAATTTGTCAGCCTAAAGAACTTCTCTGATAACGACATTCAGATAAAAATGCACATTAGTTAATAAAGAAAAAAAGAGAATGCAACAAAATCTAAAATTATGAAGCACAAGCGTAACTACCTGAATTTTGTGTCTCAGCAAAATAAAGAACTGAATTTGGGCTTGATTTCTCTGAATCAAATTGTGTTAGGGGTTTTTCTACAGCAAAGCTTTCACGTTTTTTCTTCTTTTTCTTCCTTGTTATTTTTGCTCCTTCATAGTCTTCCATCCCAACAGATATATTCTGAAGAAATTTATCTGTTGGTCTAAGGACGTTGGTTGAATCTTTAAGTACTGTAAACTTCTGAGAATCCTTGTGCATGAGGATCACTTTGTCATCTAGCTTCTGAGTTGAAACCTCATAATTAATAACATGTAAATTTTCTTTCTTCTTCAGATCCACGCTCTCCCTTATCTTGTTATTCAGCTTCTCTTTTCTTCTCTGCTTTATTTCTGCAAAATTATTTTTCCTCTGTTTCGACACAATCTCTCTGCTTTCAAAGCTGAGAATAAAGAAATTCTCATCTTCAAGCTCCATGTACGTTGGTGGTTCACGAAAGCTATTCACCCGTGGATTTCTCCCTTTAATTTCTCTCAACAAATCAACGGAATTCATAGAGCGGCTTCGGGAGATTGATTTGTTATTGCTTGCCTTTGCATGATCCAAGCTAAAAGGCGGCAGCGATTCTAATCCCATCAGCCTTGCCACAACCCCAGGTGCTTTTAAGGACAGTCCATCATCAGCTTCTGCTTCTTTAGTATGATTACTGTACTGGTACGTTGTAGACAGACTAATTTGATCTGAGGGATGAGTTGGAAGACTGTTGGAGCAAAGAAGGCGACGCAACATCCCAGAAATGCAACTTACCTTGGAAGTATAATTAGCATTGCTTGAAGTGGTGGAAACAGAGGATGAAGATAACAATTTCATTGTCAACTCGCCAAGTGTATGTATGACTAGTGTGAAGGTAACAAGTATTACTGAAAACAGAAGAAGGAAAAGGTAAGAAAAGCTGGGGTTGGAAGAGTTTGAATCTGTCCTTTTTTTTTTCTCTTTTTCAAAGATGAGAGAAAACGAGGAAAAGCACAGTGGAGAAAAGTGAGATTTTGAATTGGGGAGACAGGTGTGTAATGGTAATGGTAATGGTGGCGGGCTTTACGTTTGAAAGTTTTAGGCAGTAAAAGAGGGAGTTGAAAGAGAAAAGAAGGAGTAGATGTTCCCACGCGGGCCGAGCAGTCAATTTTGATGCGCTATTTGTCTTCATCAAATAGGACCAACCATGTTACTTCTAGTCACTAACATCCACTATGCTTCCTAATCATAATAGCATCTTGTAAAGGTTGAACGTCCAAATTAATGCAAGAATGATGTGAGTTGCATTTGTTCTTCTTGAGTTCCACAAAATGCTAAACACAATCATTCTTTTTTTTTATTTTACGTGATATTCCTTCCATAAACTTGTTTGATTGGATACAGAATTTAAAAAAAAAATAAAGACTTTTGGAATTTATAGTCCTACACAAGTCAAAAGGGGGTCCAGAATATTTGTGTGGTTATAAAGCTTCTCATTAAGGGTATAATAGGAAGTTTAAACTAAATTGTTTCCGAATTGAGAAAGGAATTTTAGAACAGACAAAAAAGGAAATAGGTTCACATAAACTCGAACGGAGGGAGTATTATATTATTATGAGTCTTCTTTAAAATAATAATTTTATATTTAAAAATAAGTTAATTTTAAAATATTTATTTTATTCTTAATGCATTGATTTTGCAATCGTACAAGTGTTATTGTATGTTTAAAACTATAAGTTCTAGCTTTTTTTATTACTCCATGCAATTAAATTTGTTCACATAAAATCAACCGATGAAGTCCAATGGCTATCATGAAGGTTTGACTTGTTACGCACATTTCGTGTGATTTTAAATATATAATATTATATAAGCTTGAAAACATTGATTTGATATATAAGTGAACAAGTTTGTCTCTTTTATTTTAATTTTATTTTTGTGAATATTTTTCATATTTTATTATATCGTGAATCTAATTTTACCATCTTTCAACTTCTTTGAAATCAAAAGATACATGGAAATGAAAAGTAAAGCCAACAAAGATTTGAAGCTTAATAGAAAAAAGGACAAATTAAAAGAGAATAGAGAAATATCTCGTACTTATCTTTTTGTTTTTTTCATTTTTCATTTTTTTGATTTCGTTTTTATATCAGTTTGTATGTCAAGCATAATTATAAGAAATTTAGTCACTTGAAAGAAGTAAACGCATGAATGCGGCAGTGATAAAAGAATTAAGATGAAATAAATTAATACTCGAAGGGGATTGCATTATAGTTTTGTTTAAAACAAAAAGAAGGAAGCTAGATTAATGTAAGTGAATATATATACTACATATATTAAACTTTAGAACGGTTTGTGTAATTCTCCCTAAATACGGCTCCTACAATTTAACTCAAATTCTAAACGGCCAAGTCGCACTCCTCCCCAAACTAAGACCCATAAATAAAGAAGTATACCCTTAGGGGTCGTTTGGTAGGGTGCATAGGAATAATGCTGAATAGGGTGTATTAGTAATGCATGGATTAGTAATGCAAGCATTAGTTATGCAGAGATTATTTTTTATACATTGTTTGATGTAGTGTATTAAAAATTAAAATGCATTGCATAATTTTTAAATAAATTAGTTGTTTACAAAAATGCCCTCTATATTCTTAGCTTTAACGGAATTTAAGGACAATTTTATCTTTAATCATGCTAATGCATACTTTAATAGCCTTGGTATTACTAATATCGTGGTTTTCTATGCATTAGTTATACATAGGATTATACCAAATAGAGTGTATAACTAATGCTTGTATTAGTTATACATAGGTTAAAAAATGTACCAAACAAAATATTATTAATATACAAAGATAATGCATGCATTATTTTCTCTAATACACACTACCAAACGGCCTCTTAGTGAAATGAAGAGTTACAGAGGACAAAGGAATATTCTTGAAATGCAAATATTAGGGGGAGGGAGAGGGGGTAGCCGTAGGGGTGTTCGTCGGTCGGTATGGTATGGTATTTAGATATTTCGGTTCGGTATTTTCGGTATGCGATTTCTTAAAATCCTATACAAATACTGTACCTAATTAAATTCGGTATGATTCGGTTTTTCTCCTTTCGGTTTCGGTTCGGTAACTTCGGTTTATTCGGTTTGAATACTAACTAGTGCATAAAGTCATACACTCTAATATTCTTAATTAAAGTACTCAAAAATACAAAACTGAAATATTTGTTGACAAAAATTTTGTCCAAAACTAACAAATATCGGAGGTATGTCTCGGCTAATGCTTTTGTTTCAAATAAAAGCATCTGCTCTTTCGGCATCTCTTTCGCTTGTCCAGTAACCTCTTCTTTCTCAAAAAGACCCAAACAGAGAAAATTGTATATAAAAAAATATTTGATCATTAGAAGTGTCTTGTTACTTGTTTAGAGTTAATTGATGAACTTTGAGAATAAAGAAAAGTAAACTTTTAGATTTTTTATATTTATGTTATAATTGATGATATATGTTTTGTGTAATATAATATATATATTTCGGTACAGTATCGATATTTCGGTATTTTGTCTTAAAATATCAAATATCATATTTAATACCAATTTTTTTAAAAACTTAAACCAAATAAAAAAATATCGTACACCAAATACCAAAAATTTTTATTTTGATACGGTAATTCCAATATTTACTGAATTATGCCCACACCTAGGGGGCCGCCCCTCCTACTGTCCCTTTAGCTTTGCCACTCATATTACTTTGACAACTTGATGCATACAAGTAGCAGATCACTTTCCTTTAACAGTGAAAAGGTACAGTAATCCCAAGAGGGTGCCAAAGTGGTACGAGTTTTGGCAATCATGTGCAGTAAACATGAACACGAAGGGTTTAAATCTCACCGAAAACTAATAACCGTTGTCTCTCAACTTGCACAACCTAAGCTCAAGGTAGATAGATCTGTATGATTCGAAGGAGTGATTCGCAAAAAAATATATTTCGGAAATAATTTTTTTGAAATATATAAATCCTTGAATTGCTTTCACGTTAAAAAAAAAAGATTCGATGGCGGCTCAGATATTACTTTATATGGTAAGTTTAAGAGCCCGTTTGGACATAATAAATTTTTCAATTTTTTTTGAAAAAAATTCAATTTTTTTGAAACCAGTGTTTGGCCATAAATTTTCAATTTTCACTTGAACATAAATTTTGAAATTTTTCAAAAGCTCCAAAAAACTATTTTCCAAAATCTTCACTCAGATCACTGACAAAACTTCAAAAAAAATTCAAAATTATATTCATGTCCAAACACAACTCTAATTTTCAAATGTTATTTTCACTTGAAAATAAATTTCACTTTTTTTTTGGAATTGTACAATTCTTATATTCAAACGCCCACTATGTCTCAACTTTAGTCTATTACTTTTCTGAATCCCATATAAGAATTTCATTTTTGACTCCACAACGGTCTAAATCGTATATATTCTCTCCGTTTAAATTTACGTGAATCTATTTTTTTTTTAGTCTGTTGTTGCTCCCAAACGCACGCGCAAGTATGCGTGGTCGACAAGTAATATAGAATTGTAAGTCCAGATATCGTACCCACAGGGACTTGTGATTAACTATCAACTAAATTAAGCCAAACAATTAATCTATTCAAGCGAATTCTAAAATATGAATATTCTACTAAAATAAATCTAAAGTAACAAATTAAGAGATTAAAGAAAACAAGTTGGAGAATTATAGAGACGAATTCGATGTGAGTGAATATTCTAGAGCTATGAGTTAGCTAACAATCCCGTTGAGTTTTCCACTTCAATCATCTAATTGATATATCTAGTTTATTGGTTGACAGAGTTAATATTGCCTGTAGCCTTCTCCCGAAGGACAACTCGCCTATTCAAGCTAATCTAATGCCTATATTCCTATGGAATTAGAATTAACAAGAACGCATTAATAATTCCCGTATAATAACTAAGCAAGGCGATTAGGTATATTCCTATCCTAACCGCAAATCTGCCCCCTCCCCTTAGAGTTAAGATCTTACTCTACTCAATCTTATATGCAATCTAGAATTCCCTCTCTACTCAATCTAAAATAATAAGAACAATCTAAGCTTCAAACTACAACGTTCATGTAGCACCTAAAACTCTAGAACTAATAAACTATGAAATTAAAGGAAGAGAAGAGAAGAAAAACTAGTTAGAAGCCTCCTCCAAGCGTGGTTTGTGTTCCTCCCTGTCTAAACTGTGTCCCTAGGTCTCAGATTTGTCAAAAGTCTTTAAAATAACGTTTTTATATGTATTTATACCAAGTAGGGTTGGGCTAAGACGAAAACACCTTCTCCCGCGCGAAATAGGACTCTGGCTCTATAAATTTTGTACAGTCGCGCCGCACCCTGCGCCGCGCCATGCGGCACACTAATGGAGTTTATCAGCAGCCTCAACTTTTCGCATCATGCAATATTTTACACTGCTGCGCCGCGCCTTGCGGCGTCCCATGCAGTGCGGCAGTGTAATTTTCTCAGAGTGAACTTATTTCGTCCTCTTTTAACATCCGGACTTGGTACACGACCTCCGAACACGATCCTGGCGTAATGTCTTGGGCTTTTACTCAGACTTCAAAGCTCCAAATCACTTGAATTCATTCCATAACGCCTACATAGATCAGAATCACTCCTACAAGGCATAAAATAGATATTTAGTGCAAAACACTAGCAATTAAAGCTCAAACTCAATTAAAGTACAGTAACTTAGAGTTTAATAAGCGACTAAAATACACAATTATATCCTATCATCATCCGTACAAAAAGAATGACCAATTTTCATATTTGAAAATANTATATATATACACAACAAATTCAAAAGTCTTCCATGCCCAATCAAATAGATTCACATAAATTAAAATGGAGGGAGTAATATTCTGGAAGTCTTTGCCAATTATTCTCGTAAAAATTGCACGGGGCACCCTATTTGGTCGCCCCCATTTAGCCTATACCCATTGTTTTTTAAAAACTTTTAACTTGTACCCACTTTTTAAATTACTTCAGCCCCCTTTCTCTTCCTCCTTCTCCTCCTTCGTTTTCTTCTTCTTCTTTCTTCTGCTGTTGTTGGTACAGATTATGTTTTTAGGTAAAATTTCTTTTACACTGTTGGTGCATAGAAGTTAAAACTTTCTTTTATACCTTTATATGATTAAAAAAGAAATTATATTTCATAGATCCTTTTGTGAGGGGAAACTATCAAGATACCATTGTTAAGTGACGACGCC